TCACCCATCCATATATATATATGTATGTGCAAAGTGTTATTGGGATGGAGTGCTGTCCTTCTCGGTTTTGCTGTCATTGGGTGCCTCGCCGCCACAGTAAAGCAACGCCCACGAGCTAAAGGCACCAGGGGGCGGGAGCGACACGCCGGCAGCTTCTGCAATCGTCTCAAAAGATGCCGGTGTGTCGGGTAATAATTCCCTACGAGAGTCGACAGGTATCTTTTTTTTTCCACTCCTCACAAATTCCGTTTCCCCTTCCGAAAGAATTTCCCGCAGCGTTCCCGGCACGTTTTGAAGAGGTGGTCGAAGAGACTCAATCTCCGGCCGCTGTCCAAAGACAAAAGGTTCCGCTACCGTGAGACGATGAACCCATTTACTGCCATCCACGCGACCTCGTTCTTCCTTCATGCGGGCAATCTCCCTGGCGCGCTCTTGCCGCTGCAAAAACTCTTCCACACCTGGTGCTGTCATGAAGGCAGATCCAGACGCATTTCCCGAGTACCCGTGTATCTTTGGGCTAAATGTGTACTGCGAGTAATCCTCCGCATGCAACGTACGTTTTTCCTCCAACTTTTGTTGCCGTCGAATCTGCCAAAGAGCATTGCGTTTCTGTACCCTTAACACGGACCCTCCTCGTACTGTCGTGAAGAAGTCACCCTGATTTGCGGTGTTCCCGACATCTCCCGGGCTGCGTGGATTGGCACTTGCCTGCCGAACTGCGATCTGCCGAGAAACACTGCCCACGGACTGTCGCTGCCCCGCTGACGGGGTCAACTCTGTCTTCATAAATTCTTCCTCTTGCGCCAAATTCCGTTCCATTCCTTCTTGTGCCTTCACGCCAGCGCCTGTCCCTCGCATCACAATATCGTCCATATTGTTTTCATCCGCGTCAGCAGCGTTGCCATCATATCCGTCCGTGTTTTGCATCCGCATCTGCTGACGCCGAATCCACGCGGCGTTGGCGTTGAGCTTCTCACGCTGCCGTACAAGTAGCTCATCAGCTGAATATGCTTCCATGAATTCGCCGAACTTTCCCACAGAGTGGAATAATAATAATAATAATAATAATAATACTAAAGGAAAGAGAGAATGAGAAAGCAATAAATAATATGAATACCGAAAGCAGCAATTGCCCCTCCCTGCCCCTCTTTTGCAACGACACGCAAATTCAAAAAAAAACAAAAAAAAAGGTAAGGTCAAACCATACCCCTCTCCTCACTCTTTGTTTTATTTTCTTTTTTTCAATTTGACTGTATTCAAAACTGTCTTCGGGAAAGTGCACCGTGCCATGTGACGGTACGCCTCCCAGTAATGACTGGAGACCATTGTGTGTCCGCCATGGCGAAGAAGAAGATGTGGCACCTCGTACAGTGGGGCCTGGAACAGGCACATGTCAACAAAACCATATGCCTTCGCTACAAGTGGTCAAATTTGTATGGTCTCCTACGCGCGCTGGCAACATGCCACTTCATTCCGCTGCGCCCAAAGACAGTTGCAAGCGTTCCCATGCAGCTTGCCAACCGCCGTCCAATGCGTGCGGTGCTGCTCTTCTGTCTTTTCCAGTGCAAAATAACCCCCAAAAGGAAGATGAAAAGGCAGCGGCCAGCCCCAGACTGCACTTAATATGCCTCAAAGACCCTAGCACGGTTGCTCTTCATGAAGTACTCATCCCCCTTCATTCAGTGCGTCTCCATGGCTTCCCTCCGGCACCTTTTCTCTTCAACTGCCGCTCCCTTCAATACACGCCGTTGAGTTCAAAAGATTAAGGGCGCACATGCGTGCGTGAGCCCACATAACACACACATATAAAAGCGCATGCGGAAAAAAAGAGAGAGAGAGAGATGGAAGGGGAGATGTGCAGAAAAGTATGTATTTAAGCTTTGGCAGCAAAAACAGCAAAAAAAAAAAAAAAGTTAAAAAAAAAAAGACAAAAAACACAATATGGAACGGTAAGAATCCATTTCTGATTAGGGAGTAGGCATCTTCATGAGCCTGCACAGGAATAATAAGTAATAAAAAAAAGGTGGGGGGGACGCAAACAGTCTTAGCATAAAAACCAACAAAAGGAAGAAAAAAATGTGTGTGAATGTTGTTTTTCTTTTTTTTTTTCCAATTTTGATGCCAATGCCAGCACACAGAAAACAAACAGATGCGTATTCATATATACATATACGTATACACATATATATGCCTGTGTAGGTGTGTGCTTTTGTATAAGAGCTCTCAAACAACGAGTAGCTCCTCCATTCTCGTCTTAATTAAGCGGTTTCCTTTTCTTGTCTTCTCATATTATTAGCACCGTATTTTTCCATTTTACCCCGCCGCTGTGTGCCCTCTTCTGCTCTGCAGCAGCAACTGATCCGTCTTGCTTTTCGCCAGTTCGTACACCACCATTGCCGCACCGCTCACAGGGCCCGCCCTCACCAGCGACACCCCAATTCCCCGGTACATTGCGGAAATCTCCCGCCTAAAGATATCCGTCACCTGCAAGAAGCCAATGTTGCGGGCCTGTACAATTGTTTTTATGGTGTCAAGTGGATATAGGAGGGTCCATGTAGCCATGGAGGCAATGCTGCCTGCAAGGAATGCTGATTGACTCGTAAAATACTCCGTGGAATCTCCCACTATGACGGTTGCGCGAGGACCCCATTTTTGCTGCGAAAACACACTAAAGAGCTCACACAACCACCGCCTACTTGCATCGTACAAACCCAAATAGCAACTGGCAAAAAATATATCCTTCACGACATGGTACCGAAACCCACGATAATATCCACAAAAACCCTCATTGCGGTAAATATCAATTGCACACGTCCAGGCATTTTTTGTGACGCAGCGAGTAGAAAACTGTGTTTGGATCTTTATGACATGCATCGGGCAACCAATAATTGTTCCAAAGCCACCCGCAATTGCCCCTGAACGAAACGGCGATGCCCCTATCCATGCAAATATTTTGGAGAAAGTACAACTCACGTACGATGGGGAGGCCCCATGTGATGTTCGTTGAATATCATGTTGCCGAAACGTGTCCCACACAGCAAACTGCAAACTACGCTTTGTTGCTGACATCACCAAGGGTGGAGTAACACCACGGTACAGACTCCATGCCCCCTCTGCACGGGTCATGCTCCAAATTGTGCACACAAAGGATCGGCTTGCTCTGGGACCCACAGCTTGCATGCGGGTCTTGGCGGTATCAAGCGGATGTCCTAGAGCGACCGTTGTTAATCCTTGCGCCGCCCCGGGGAGGAACGTTAAAATCATCTCCCCATCCATTTAATCGCAGTTTTCTACATTTATTGGAAAAAAAAAAAGAGGCGGATAACACGACAAGATGACAAAAAAAAAAAAACAAAGAAGAATTCACTCACTTCTAGAGTCAATATGGCCAGTCCATAAAAACTAAAAACGCAACTACACACAGAGAGAGAGAGAGACATGCAGAAATAAAAAAAAAGAAGGAAACAGATGTACATTCAATTCTCATAGAGTTACAGTAAAGGGCTTCACATCCCACTGACTGTGTTCTACTTTACATCCAGGACAGACAATAGGCAGCACGGATCCATCCTCGTCACGAACCATCGGAACGAGCTCGCCGTAGGGATCAATACGTAAGAGCTTTCGACCGCATTTGCCACAGTAATACGCCATGCGGGGTCCGCAAAATCGTGGATCATTCTGCGCAACCCTCTGTCCCCCACCCTCTTTTTGCCTCCAACAACCAATCTCCTGCAGGATGGGAGGAATTTCAGGCGTTTCCACTCCGACGCCCGTTGCTCTTTTGGTTGCGGTGGGACGGAAATCCTCCACATCTGTTCCCCCTACGTTACTTGCCGTGCGAACGTAATTGTTCGAAAGTTTGGAGCGAATATTCGCGTGATCCCCATATTCGTCAAATGGCACCGCCTGTTCCCAGCTGGTGTGCTCTAGTTGGCATCGTGGACAACTCATTGGAAGCACTTGGCCAAAGGATGACACAGAGAGTGGTAGCGGCTTCCCATTTTGGTCCATGGCAAGAACGTGATAACCGCACATGCCGCATTTCCATGAAATTTTTATCCGTTTGCGAAAGTTCGTCTGAAACAGGGAATCACTCAGGGCGGAGCGGTTCGAGGATCCGGCAAAGACATTTTCTCCCAACGACCGCTGCCCTTGTTCACCTTCCTCCTCCCCCTCCCCCGCCTTCTCTCCTTCTTCCTCTCCCTTCATGTGCGTCTTTAGCATCGTTCCTTGTAAGGAGAAATCGGATGTCTCTGTCGTTGCTTCATTCTCTTTATTGTACGGTAATCTCAAAGTCGATTTGCCATTTCCCTCCACAATACTTCGGGTACCCGCGTTGGAATGCGTAACGACGTTATTTGACTCCCGCAACGCCGAACCCCTCCCTAAGGCCGTGTACATGTCAACAAGTTGAGAGTTGCAATGCTATAAATGTATGCATGCAACTCCCGTGTGCCCCCCCCCCCCACACTTGACCCACTTGTCCTGTTAATTGTTTTTCTTTTTATCGTTCTTGTTGTTGTCGTTGTTGTGTTTGTTTTAAATTACAGAGGTGTATGCCACACGTACACACAGAAAGAAAGAAAGAAAGAGAGAGAGAGAGAGAGAGAGAGAGAGAGAGAGAGAGAGAGAGAGAGAGAGAGAGAGAGAGAGAAAAAAATAAAATAAAATTCAAAAAATTTGAATACAGCACGACAGTGTCTGCGTGTCTGTATGCGCGTTGTTTGTTATTTATTTAATTCCTTCTTCATTTCCGTGTTTCCTTCAGGGTTGTTTGGTCATTGACCTTAGGCGCAAGCACGCATGGAGTTTGTGGTTGTTTTTCTCTCTTTTAACGTCATTAGAAGTCAAGAATATAAAAAAAAAAAAAAAAAAAAGAAAAAAAAAACATCAGAAGCAATATTTACATTTTCCAAGTGCAAAAATGAATATTCGCCTACACAAAAAGTATAATAGAGAAAAAAAAAAAAAGGGATATAATATATTACATTTCCACCCTAAACGGGGGTACGCCGTGAATCTCGTGGTATCACTGTGCGTCTGCGTGTATCCAAATGAGAAATCGCTATCTCAAAAGGATCAATTTCCATAATGCACACATCCTCCACATCTTCCGATGGACATGTGCCGCCGGTGATAAAAACACGTCTTCCAGCCGCCGCCGCCAAGGAATGGTAACAGCGGCTAGGGAACGGCAGCTTTTTTGTCTCGTTGGCCACCACTTTCACCCATGAAATAGATACATTGTTCTCATTCTTTTCAAGCAAACGCAGGATCCAGGCATCAGACAGAACCTTACCACCAACTCCAATGCCGCCGTGGAATAAAAGCTCATTAGGACTTAACACGCAGGCCGCATGGGCGTACCTCGCCGGTGGGCCCAGGGGACCCACATTGATAGCCGTTGCCACCCATTGTTTCTTTTCCAGATTGTACACCGCAACATCATTGCAAAAGTCCAGAACCAGTTTTTCAATTGGCTGTACTACTTTTGGGTCTACCTTCTTGCCCTTTTCTGGACGACGCCCTGTTGGGACCGGGGCCAGACGACGTCCGCCGTGAATAACGATGTAGCGGTCCAACAGCACTCCAGCAACGTGGGAAGAGCGGGGAAAGGGAGAGCTAGTGGACATTTCCACCCCAGTCCTTTCAACCCACTTGCGGCTTCTGAGGTCCAGCGTTCTCATGACTGACAAGTTGCAGCCAACAGCGCCACCAGCCGTGTTCCCGCCAAAAACATACACACAATCTTGAGCCACGCAACCCGTCATGCACGTCGAGGGCAGTGAAGAAACTGCCATCCCACCACGAATGTGCAGGAGAGATCCTTTATCCATGTCAACCCCCACCGTGTGTGAGGTACGGCCGTTTCTCTTCCAACCGCCAATAAAAAAAACCACGGGGTGCTCGCGCGCCGCGGAAGCATCAGGTTCCCCCGTTTTTCCGCTGCCGTCAGCATCGTTCCCAGCGTCCACGCCTTCGTTCGCAGCCTCGTGTAAACACTCTGAATCAACATTCGAAACGGCAGTCGAAAGCGCTGTATAATCGTCCTTCCGCACGGAGCACCACTGCACTACTGTTGCCGCCAATGTAGGCCATGAAAACCCATCGGGCACCCGCAGTGGACGGTGGATGAAAACAGGCTCGCTTGGCGCAAAAGCCTCGCCCTCTGAAGGCGTCCGCTCCTTCTTATCCTCCCCCGCATCGACATCATCCTGCCTGTTCATATCAGTTTTGGAAGAAACCAGCTCGTCGACCTCTGATTGCGGGGTTTTCTCCCGTAATGATGCGCCTTCCACACCCCACGTGCGGGTAGTTTCGTCCCAACACTCCGCAAGTGGCATGGGCTCCAGAGTTTCCTCCGAGTGCGCTGTTTTCACTGCCTTCGGAAGCGTGTCCAAATCGCACCCACCCACGACGTACAACAATCCGTTTTTGGGATGAACGTACGACAGGTGGCCCATGCGCCTCCGCAAGGGGGCGTTCACAGATACACAGTACTCCACCTGTGCTCTTAGCGCCATCGGTGGGGTTTTGTCGTCCGTGGCGTCCCTTCCTTTTCCTTTCTTTGGTGGCATCTTCTCTCCCTTGCTTTCTCTCTATCCCCTCCCCTATTGATGAAGACCGTTGAGTGGATAAAGAGGCACAACAGCAGCCATAGGGCATCAAACAACAACACACAGACCGTCATATCGCCCCGCAAACACATGCGTATGAACACAACGTTCTTTCCCCCAAATTTTTCTTTAGGCATCTACCCCCCTCTCTCTCTCTCTTTTTTTTTTTTCTCCCCCGTTTTTTCCGTGAGAAGTGCCAGACGCCGGCCAACGCCAACGGCCGCAAGCCGAAGCCGCTAAAAGAGGAGGAGAAGAGGGCGGTGGTGCCTAAAAAAAAATTATTATTATTATTTTTATTTTTTGGTAAAGATCCGACTCAGCAACAACAACAACAACAACAAAGACGTATTTATATCAGAACAGCAGCAAAATTAAATGGTGACCCCCCCTCCCAAAACAAAAAGGAAAAAAAAAAAAAACACGGATCTTCACCTCCACACATTTTGATAATATTAAATACAAATTTCCACACGGGCCGCCCCGACCCCCCCACTCAATAAAGCAAACATTTGAGAAATCGCAATTTCAAAATGAGTCAAAATGCAAAATTTACACGCATCCCTAAGTTTTTAACATTTGTCCTCATGTATTGCCTATTATTTTTAGTAGCAGCCCACAATAAAAAGAAGAAGCAAAAAAAAAAAAAAAACAAAGATTATGCATATTTTTTTATTTATATGTGTCTCCTCTTTTTTTTTCTTTTTTTTTTAATTCTTGTTGGTTCCCCTTGGGGAGATGTTTCACTCCACGTCTTGGACCCTACTCCGCTACTCCCCCCCTCCTCCTCGATCCATCGCATCGATCCGTTCGACCAATTTACTGGGCATAAAGCGTGATGCATTGCGTGCCAAGCGATTGATCCAGCGAGGCATTAACGGTGGCAGAATCGCCGTCGCACCATTTGACAGTTCGACCAATTCCCGCTCACCATCATCGTAGACGCGGAGTTTTCCTTGTCTTTGCTGCTCTGCCCGCACCTCCGGGGGCAACAGTCGCTTCGCAAAGGCCTCTGAAAAGTGGTTGCAGTTGTTCTGCACCAGATGGTACGCACGGCCGGACCACTGACGGTCATTCTCCTTAAACTCCTTCACAATGTTGAGCACCTCCTGCTGCGATAGTTGTGTCTCGCCAAGAACGAGTTGCTCGCGAAAAATGTGTGGGGGTGAATATCTCGGTGCCACCTCAAACACCCCGGAGCCCTCATCGCAGCGGCCAAACGCAAACTCCATGCCGTACACCTCCACGCCGGTGTGGTGGAGGCCTATCCCGGCGTGGTACAAGACATCATTCGCCTCAGTCAGGTCGTAGAGGTTGAGGAACACCGTGTTCTCAGAAAAATTCCCTTCACCACGGCCATTCTCCGTGGCGCTGACAGGAGCCCTGGCGGTATCCCCGCTTTTGTTCAACGGCTTCAGTACGGATTCAACGGTGGAGATAATACGAACCAATTTCGGCGAGTTTGCCGCAGCGAGAATATTCTGCAGCGACATAATTGAAATAAAAAAAAAAACACCCACTTCCAATAAGAACGGAAAGAAATCAAAGACTGTACCCATAAAGAAAGAAGGAGAAAAAGTAAAAAAGAAGTCATTTCTCGGACAGTAAGAGACAGAACATCGCCCCTTCCCCTTCCCCAAAGGAAGAAGAAATGCAAAAATGCAAAAACAAGAAAATACAAATACACGTACAGAGGGGGGGAAAAAAAACAAGAGGAAATAAACAAAACGCGCATCACTCCACCACTTCATATACAGCCCTTGGGGAAACTTTCCGTCGTCGCTTCACGGGCTGATAGCCACCACTACTACTGCTGCCACCGCTCCCGTCATCGGACAGTATCACAATATCTGGTTTCCTGAGCGAGCGTACATCGTCGTCGCTGTCGATAAGAATCACATCCGCCTCACAATCAATCGCGGCTGAGGCACACTCACTGCGGCTGTGCTCCTTCTTCTTAATTTGTGTCCTGTTATTTCGTCTACACCGTGTCTCCCAGCAAGCAAGAGGAAAAGGATACTGCTCCCGAAATCGCCGTGCCTGATCGACTGCCGTGAAATAAGTCGCCTCCAGCTCTTCTAGCAACGCCGCACCTGTAGGCAGAAGCGCCAGCACCTCGCCCTTTGCAAGAACGTCTTGTGCAACAACCCGCGTGACGCCATTCTCATCCACACGGTACGACAAACTTTGCACCTCTGACCACTCATCGGTTGAAAGTGAGGCCTTCCGCACCCGTTCGTTTGCCGCGCGACAGTCAGCCAAGACTTGCACAAACAAAATATCCAAGGCCGCATCTCGCAGTGAGGCTTCATCGGGACAGAAGGGCGAGTCCCCCGCTTCCATCGCAGTGTGTGCCACCTGTTCCTTCTCCGACCCTGTCATCGTGACGCCTGTCCCAATCTCCAATGAGACGGCTGACATACGAATGAGGTGCACCACATACTGTAAGTGTATTGGCACACCAAAGATCCACACCAGGAGAAAAAGGTGCCGGCGCACATCCGGCACCAACCAGCCAGCCACCTTCACCGCAAAAGAGGTGCTTCCGTGGTTCTCTGGCAGTCTGCACGGGCCCGCTCCCTCCATAGCACACATGAAAAAGAAAAAACAAATAAATAAATCAAGCGGCACGCGGGCAAATATAAGAAATTACAAAATTTCTCACTAAACCGCCAACCCGTCTCGTGGACCCGCCGCCCCTCAACACTTTGAAACCGAAAAAAGAAAAAAAAAGGAGCAGAGAAAGCTGCAACGCGGGAAGCTACTAACACCGGAATATCACTTGACTCCAACTATATGAACAAATGACCGCCTGTAGGCCGTGTAATTCTTGGAGAAACGGCTCACGAAAGAAACGATGGCCGCAGAAATCAGCAAAAACCCATGACCCCAGAGAAATGAAAACATCCAACGCGAAAAAACACACAGATACAAAATACATGGGCTAATTAAAGATTAATTCAACGGGCACTATACATGTACTTTACAAAACATGACACTCAGACCAGTGTCAAAAATGTTCTGAAACTCCAAAGACCGGCATGATCACCCGTGTACGCTTAAAACAGCCCACTTCGTGTAAGAATACCAACAAGAGTTCGATGATGCTCTAAAGAATTCGCTGCCTCAGCCTCTAATTCGGAATATTTGGGTGGAATCAACGCATCCGTGGTGAACGAGGGGCCATATAACCCACAATGCACTCCTCTAACAGTCGCCTCCGTCGTAACGGTGTAGTTACACCTGTTCCCGAGAGTCCCGTCCATCTGACGGGCGGCAATGGTGTTGGAAGAGGCGTATTTCGTCTCTGCCGTGCGAGACTTCTCGATCTCTGCAGTCAACAAACCCGAGAGAGGTGAAGCGTGGGATGCATCACGATAAACATGCTCCAGCACTACCAACTCCACCCTTTCACGACCCACACCTCGACTCCAAAACATATAATCCCGCACGTTAAATATGTTCATTGCCGTAACGCCGTGGTCAAGGTCCAGATATCGAAAAGATGGGCGAAGTACCCCCCACGCAGACTGCGCTTTTCGCACCATTAATCCCCAGTGGCCCTCACCCGCACCAGACACGGATCGGCTACTGAACAAAATGGCTTCTGCTGCATTGCTGTGCCGAAGAGCCACACGCACACCGAGTTGAAGTAGAAGAAGTGGCGGAAGCAATGAGTAAAGCGGCATTTTTACAACATCATGTTCCGCGTGCAATACTTCAGGGCTAGGACGTTCCGCACCACTCTTTAATTCCACATTACGACTCGCCCTGCCCGAATCCTTTAATTTGGATGTTGAAAAGGAATGTACATCTTTCCTGAACACATACAATGTCGTCGTCAGTGGTGTGGGGGGATGATGAATATCGTCCAGTGCATCGCGGTGGCGATTCACTGGGACACGTCCATTCTTCCATATTTGAAAATCATCCTCGTCGTCAATAATGATATGACACGTTCCATTTGGTGGACTAAGCATCTTAGGGTTGCATGGAAGTTTGTACTTAAAGATTGGATTGTAATCAACTCCAAATGCTTCTTTCATGTGAGAAACAAGTCCGTTGTAATCCTCCGCCGTGGCCCAAAGTCCCTCACCGGGCAATTGTCCGAGTAACACAAGATATTTCATGAAGTGCTGGTGTCCCCTCCCTCCACAGCCGCTTTTCGCACACTCCTAACCCCCCTCATCCAAATTAATGTATACATTCATACATGTGCATGCGTGTATACATATACACACAAATGGATATGGGGAAGAAAAAAAAAAAAAAAAAAAAAGGGCAAAAATTGCCAGCATCAATAAGAACGCGGCCGTTAGAGCAATAACGGCCATGTATATGCGCAATCGTATACAAAACATTATGGAACCAAAAGAAAGAAAGAAAGAAAAATCAACAAAAACAAAAGACATCCAATTCTTCTTGTAATAATACATCAAAAGTAACAAGTAGAGTGTGTCGTCTTAATTCCGTCCAAATTGCAGGAGCAGCTGTCAGTTCGGTGAGCGTACACACACACACACACACACACACACATGTATGAAAAGAAGAAGAAGAACAACAACAACGAAAAAGAAAAACAAAAAAAAGGTCAAACGGAAATATCAAACATGGGCAATAAAATGCAGAACAAAAAAAAAAGAAAGAAAGAAAGAAAGGAAAAAAAAAAAAAAAAAAACAACGACACACATAACATCAGTGAAAGTCTACAGCTTCAAAAAAAAAAAAAAAAAAAAAAAAAGAACAACAACAAAAAAGAGATTTTTTGAATATTCTGCAATTACTGAGTGGGTAAAGCTGTACATATATATATATATGTATATATACTTGTATCTTTCTCATTCTCTTTCACTTTCTCTCTCGCTCTCTCTGTGTGTGGGTGTGTGTGTATCGGCCTTCTTTCTTTAGAACCGGCATCCCCTTGCCGCCATAAGAAAATATTAATAGTAATAACAATCGATCAG